TTGACGGCATCGTTCTTCTGCTGCATGCCGAATGGCTCCTGGCCACAACGCTGGTTCCACCTTGGACTGATGGAGGATGAGTCGAAGTCGACGTTTGACCTGTTGCACTTCAGCCTCTGCTCGACCATTGCTCTGAGGATCATCTCCTTGTGTGAAGGTGTGGATCATATGGCGATGTCCACACCACGTGGCCACTCTTCTTGACAGCAGCCCTTTTTCTCTGTCGCTATGCAACCTGACTAGATTGACTCCCAGGCAGCGAAAGCGTGCATGTAGTCGAGATAGTCCTGCCAGCAGCGAAGTCACACTCCGGTCCTCCAAAATCTCGACCATCGTAACATTCTGGAGTTTGTGAGGCTTCATCAGCTCTTGAATTATCTGGCGCTCCTCTTGATCTGCCGGTTCTTCTTCCACTTCTGCCTCCTCCATCCCTCCTTCTTCCTCCTGTGGTACTTGATCCTCAGCTTCTTCTTCTTCGAAGCCTCCCACAGGGTTGACTTCTTCCATGTCAGCCTCCTCCAGGTTCTCCACCTCAGGTGCCCCTGGAAGTTGATCAGGAACTGGAATGGGCACTGTGCCCAGCAGTGCATACTTGGCCATCCTTCCAGTTGCTAAACCCTTGCCATAGGTGAACGGGCCCATGATGTCAATCGCCAATGTGAAGGCTGCCGACGCCGTCTTCGATCTTCGATGAGGATGTTGCATTCCCATCGCTTCAACACAAGCACGGCAGTCGCGCCTAAACGGCACATGCTGCATTCTGACGTGTCTACGCCACTCATCCAGGTTGAATTTCGCCACTTGAACTGTTTCTTCATCATACCTGAGCATCTCCTTGAGCGAATACTGGATTGCCCTCACAAGGCCCGTGGACCATTCCGACCAGCTTCTCGATGTTGCCATGCGTCGATTTAGGTCTCCACACACTGGATGCGTCGTCCCACCTCCCTTGCAGAACTCCAGCTGCTCCATCATTGGTAAGTTGGTCAGTAGTCCCGTAGGCTTTCTTCTACAATGACCTGTGGCTCCTTGGTCGAAGCAGACCATCTTCATAGTTTCATCTTCCTCCAGAAGTCGCTGTAGTTGAGGCCATTCAAAGAACGACGGCGACTCCTGGCCCTCTGCGGTGTCCAAATAGGTAGCTGGATCCTGTGGGCTTTCCAACAGAAACCCCGTCATGCCCTTCTTCTTCAGGCTCTGTTCGGACATCTTCCATAGTGCAACTTGCTTGAGCACCAGCGCAGAGTCGTTGTTGGTGAGCTGTGCCTCCTGCTCTGTCATCTGCTGAACCCCCCACCTTTCCGGTCCTCTTCCACGAACTCGGCGTGGTCCAGGTGGTCCCTTGTTTCGAAGCCTGGAGGTCGTCCGACATGGTGGACCTCCAATGATTGCCCTCAGCTGCCCTTGCTTGGCCAATGAACATAGGTATCCCCACACATGTGGTGAGTGGAGATCAAACCGAGATCCAAGCTGCGTGTCCAAGAACAGCCACACATATCCTGAGGGTAGTGTCTTCTTCCAGCGGGTCAAGTTCGCTCCGGAAAACAAGTGCACAATGACCCCCTTTGCTGTCTGATGAGACCTTCGTTGCCTCCTATTCCAAGGCAGCTCCTCCCCCGAAGGGTTCCACGACTGGCCCTTCATGTAGGTCAACAGCTCCTTGGGAAATCCTGGTACATTCCCCAACCACCATGCCACATCCTCCGGCTCCAAGTCTAGGCGCTGGGATTCCATCTCCTCGAACTCTCGAAGCATATCCAGTGCCTTGCGGCGATTCATAACTGGGCAGCCTCCTCGCAGCCAACAGGAAATTGGTCCCTGTCTAGGATGCTTGATGACGCACCCCTCCTTGGACCATTGGATCTGAAACCCATGATGCACCAGCAGTGTCAGGGGTATGATTGGTTCCACCAAATCCAATGATAGCAGAGTACTACAACCTTCCTTTCTGTAGAGTGTAGTCGAACCGTGAGCGAGCTCTACCTGAACTGGGACGAGATGTCCTCGCTCTTCTGGCTCTGCTGTCCTCAGTGGATGTGTTGCCCCTCCATCGAGCAATGCCACCTCCTGCTCAACCCCACTTCCAGGCTGAATCGGACACACTTGCTTCAATCTGCATGCCTTGAGTGCCCTCAACGACTTTAGCAGTCCAGTAGCTTCCGCCAACAGGGCTGTGGTTGCCTCCGTGTTTCCGGTCGAAGCTCCACCACCGCCACCTTCCTTCTCCCCCTCCCGACTCCCTGATGCCTGTGAACTCTTCAAGGACGCCGGGCTCTGTTGGGATGTAGTCGTAGTAGCTGCATCCGAACCTTTTGATGCATCAGAGTCCTCCGTACCTTTCACCGGCGACTCCTTGTTGAGCGGGGCATTCTTCACCTTCGCAACCTTTGAATCCTTCTGATCTTTGTCCTTGCGAGTTGGGCACTCTCTTGACATGTGCCCCTCCCCACTGCAGACATAGCATCTGTTCTGCTTGTTGATGCTCTCCCAAGAGTGCCCATAGGTGCATTGATCACCTCGTCGACAACCTTGAGTCGAGCCCCAAAACCTGCACGGAGTCCTTGGCTTTTCCTCCGTTGACCCTGTCGAATTGAATGCTGCCACCTTCGGAGCGTTCCCCCCCGTCACTGAGGCAGTATTGATACTCAGACCTGTTGTGTTTCCCTTCGATGAGCCCACCGCCAAAGCCAAATCCTCAGCCTCAGCCTGGACGTACTCCGCGTACTCCATGATGGATTCCATCGTTGGGCACTGATCCACAGCAAGATCTTGCCTTGCCGCCGCCATCCTGAACGAGACCTGAGCTCCTCCTTGTCGACCCAGAGCTTCAGTTACTCGATTTAACACCTGCACCAACACCAATGGATCTGGAGTTGCCAGATTCAGCTCCTGAGCTCGTTGAATCCAGCGCCTCCATTGCCGAATTCCTGACAGGACGTCCGCCACTCCATGACCCACCTTCAGGTCAGTAATGCTCTTCAAAAGTGCAGTCCGTTCGGCTGACCCTCCTGGTTGAAAGATGGTGTACAGCCGGAAAAGGATTCCCAAACAACTGACCTTCCGGGAAGCAATAACATCTTTTCTCACTTGATCCGGAAGAACTCCCAACAAAATTGTCACTCCACGATGCTCCACCCTCTCAAAGCTCGGGTCCACGGGGCGCTCCACCTTGAGTCTCAACCGTTCGAGCGGCTTCAACTTCAGCCAAGTCTCATAGAGAGCCTCCGCTTCGATGACATTCGCTTGCCACCACCCCCTCGCCGATGCCGAAAAGTCCGACATGAGAGGCATAGCCACCGTCAGCCAATCTCCAAACGCCAATGAGGCCCCATCGCTTCCCGGCAAAGGAAGTGAAGGAAGCTCCAAGCTCCGAAACACTTCATTCACAGGTCCACTGGTCTGCTCGGACCTGGTTGAAGAACCCTGAATTCCAGCACCATGCAACCCTGGGGGACAATCAAGACCACGTACTTGTGAACCTCCTCGATCCGGTGGTAGAGAATGTCCATGGGACTCCAACCCAATTCCAGAGCGTGGTGCATCGACCCGGGGTTTCCCTTGCTCCCGACCAGCACTAGGAACCGACTCAAACGAAGACGATTCGCCACCCCCCGTGATCTTCTTGATCTCTTTTGCGAACAGAGTTTCTGCCTCCTTGAGAACCTTCTCCCTGATCGCCTCCACTTCAAGATGGGTTGGAGATCTCCGAACATCACCTGGAGGTACTGGATCACATCCCGACCTGCTCCTCGCCACACCCACCGGAGCCTGTGAGCTCCAGAAGGGATTGATCTCTGCCCCTCTTGCCTGTGGCGGTGTGGTCATGAAATAGGGATCAAGCACCCTCGGTTGCAGCCCAGACTCTATCCCAGGTCCATAGCTAGTTGGCCTTCCTTGTGGTGGAAGAGGATGTTGTGGGGATGCAACCATGCTACCATGCCCTCCATGAACATCAGAAACACTACCGGCAAGATGTCCAAGATCGTGTGGATGCAAAAGAGGAGCTAGTAGACCCTGATTTTGGGGGTTGCCACCAAATGCCCTTTGCAACACTTCCAGCGACTGTCGAACTGAGTCTAGTAGACCCGGTACAGATTCGCCCGACATCTGCCCTGCTCCTGCTTCCCGATCCCTGGCACGACCCTGCGGCTCTCTGCTCATCCTCCTCGTCGAGGCACTCGTCATCGCCGGGGTCGCCTGGGCCGTCTGGCCCGGAGCAGCTGCCAACCTCCGCACTGCCGCTGTGGTTGCTGGCACCGATGCAGCTCTTCCTTCACGGTCTTCTTCGATCAGCCTGTCCAGCCGTTCCTCCGCCGCACCAACTCTCAGCACCCCCGGCCTGTCGCCGGGATCCACCATCCGCTCTTCTGCTCTGGAGCGGCGGCGCCTCGACTGGAACGCCATGGGGACCAGCTACCTCCCAATGGGAGGGTGGACTTCCACTCACGAGGTTGGGCTCATAACCTAAGCATCCGCAAATGGACAAAAGCTGTCTTTTCTTGAGCCAAAGCATCAAGTTGCTGTTTTGTTTACAGCTCAAGGGAATGGAATGCAACCTCAGACACAAATGGACTCTTCACTGGAGCGGGGTGTAGGAGAGACTCTGAACACTGACTGCTGTGACTCATAGGGAAGACAGGGAAGAAGGGAATGCCGTCCACTAATAGATACCCGAAAGAATACTCGTTGGGATCCAGGCACCCTCATTGCATCAACTCGTACCAGTCAGAAAAGGACAACACAGAAGTAGCAGTGTAAGAAGTAACGCGCCCAAGTTTTGACCCAGAAACGAATCGGTCACCAGGGGTCCAACCCTGGAACTATGGACATAGAGAGACGTAGAGACGGGTCCATCGCATGGTATGCTACATTTTACATGTTGTAAACGATCGAAATCCATTTGATCCTTCTTGGAGAACCAATCGCAACCCAACAAATTTGGGACATTGCTTCGGCCGAGACATCAACCTTCCAACCATCGAGAGATGTTTCATGCGCAGGAGGAGAAGCCCAAGTTCCGCGCCACGAAGCGACCTGGCGAAGTGCCGCGGTGCCGGACCTTTTCTTTGGAAAGCAAGAGACCCAGAATAGTGATGTACTGTATATGATAATATAATGTAATATATACTAATACATTTATCGTCATGTATCCTGTTTATCACCACCCCAATGTAAGTAACTATTCCAGCCCCATGGATGGTCTGGGAGAGGTCAAGAGACCAAACGTGGGACGCTAGTTTCATTCCAGAGGGGTCCATCACCCAATGGCCCAGGCCTGTTGACGTTCTGAAGAACCTTGGTTGGTGAACCTTTCAATGACAAACCTGCTGGTACAGTGCAGAATTTGTTTTGAGACAGTGTTTTTTTCTCCAGGCTGGACTCTGGACAAGCTGTTTGGAGGCCAAACATGATGGTGGTGGTGAACATCTCTAGACATTGGTGGTTTTGGAGCAGGTGCGATTTCTTTTTTCAGCTACGACATCCGTTGACCGTGGTAAATGGATAGTTCACCAGGTGGCGCAGTAATTGATTGGGTTCCTTTATCTCTTAAGTTACATGGCTCTTCCAGCCCCAATTGATCCATACTTGTACGAGGGAGTAGCCTCTATACCCAATATGTATTTGTATCGACCAACCTCCCTGCGGCACCCGACGCTCGCAGCGCGTTCGGTTCGGCACGTTTGTCCCGGGTGTCTTCCTTAATTGGACAACAGCCATCCCTGTGCTGTCGGGAGAGGACATCAGTCATCGGATCTTGGGAAGTCCAAAGCGTCCGTTTTGGAGCCATGGGCATTTGGAGCCATGGGCAGCCATGGGTTTGCAGATGCTTTTTGGGGCAGCCCTTGGTGTCGTGAAAGGAGCCTTGAGCCAGTTTCGTCCTCCTGCCGTCTCCAAGTTGCTTCCTTTGACCTGCAGTCTGGTGACTCACCCGAACGAACCGTCCAGCGTGGATCCAAGCTGACAGGTTGCCGCTCTCCTTCCCGCTGCTCGCACTGAACCAGCGGATCTTTGTGGAAGAGGTCCTGGAAGGTGGGCCACGGTATGCGGCGCGCCCGGTAGGCTTTGCCTCACTGGTGGTGATCGAACCGTTTCGTCGTTTCAGGGTGCGCATACCGAAATGTGAAACGAGAAGTCTCCTGTGTTTTAATGCACTTCTTTGGTTTCATGATGTTCCATGATGTTCCATAGCTCCTGTGTGTGTGTGTGGAGTTGCAGAAGTGTGTAGTGTGTATTATCAACTGATGGGTGTTGCAAGTCTCACACTCAGCGAGAAGTGCACCTATGTTATCTGGCTATGATGGTGATGATGGATTGGACGGAGTGTGGCGGAGGCGCTGGCACCCTCAGCGCATTGTGGAGCACACGAAAAGGATGAGGTTTGATGATGTTTGATGATGATGGTCACACTGAGTGTTTCGGGAGAATTGGATTTGCATGAAGAAGATGCAAGTTCATAACGGAATATCATTGGAAAAGCACACTTTTGCAACAACTGCAGGTTGGGCTCTACCATGCTCTACCCCCATCTTTCAGGCAGATCCCAGATGCTTCAAACCAATGGCATTGGAAGCGTAGTTTGAAAGAAAACATATAGTTTGTTTGGATTTTCAATTTGGTTGGAACTCTTGTGTCTGACAAAGATGTTGACATATATGTTGACACACACAAAACTAACTCAGTCGAACCCAGTACAGTAGGTCATTTTGACCAAGCCACTGAAAAGAGATCGCGTTCGTTTCCAGGTCTCGAACACCAAAATCGAATACAATAAAACATATAAACAAAGGCAATGAGCACAATCGAACATACAAACAATAAAACATCGAACATACAATCAGCACCACGTCCACATGTGCTTCCACCGCCGTTCACGTCGCCACAGCACCTCCAACGACGCCGCTCTACGTGGGCGACGAGATCCGGGAAGTCAACCACCGTCGCGAGAAGCGAAAGGGATGAAGCGACAGGGTGCCGGAGAAAGCTTCAGAACAGCTTGAGCCAGTTTCAGTTGATTTTGTGCATTTCTGAGTCAGCTGCTGCGGGGGATTCTTGCAGAAGGAATTGGGGAAAACACATTCTAGTAGATAAGCCGTGGGCGAGTTTTTCGACCAAGTCATGTTGTTGCTGTCGCCGCTTCCCACTGATCAAAACATATGCTAAATAGTTACCTACATACACTATAACAAACGGTGAATTTGAAGTTGTTTGTTGTTTGGAGGTGGGCAATAAATAGTATAATGAGCGAAGCTGTACTACTGCATCCTGAGACCCTTGTGTTCTTTCCGTGGCTTCTGTGGGGCTGCTCCACCTGCGGAACCGCATCAAAAACCGGGTCAGTGGTTGAATGGGACACAGGGTCCCCATAATTGAAGACAATCCCTAAGGGTCCAGGACCACTTGAATCAGATGTCCCTTGGGCTCAAAGACCATTGTCTTAAAGTACTTTCACCACCTTTCACCTCCAAGACCATCAACAGGAGGCACCTGGACCCTATGGGAACGATCATGCAGAGAAACTGATGAAAGCCGTGAGCAACATGCTCGACGTCATGAAAGCCGTCATCCACAGTGATCAAACTGAAATATTAAGCTTGGAATCTGTGATTGTCCCTGCAAAGACAAACCAAGGCTGCGCGATCTCAAGAGCATTTGTGTGGTTTGAGAGCGCCCGGAAGCCGTCATTGAGGTTTACTCGAGACATGCAACTACAAACATACATTATGCATTTATGATTATTTGATATTCTTTGTGTATGTACATCACAGTAAGTGATTGAACATGACTTCTCGATCTCAGAACAGCAAACGAAGATAAACCGCATTGGTGCATGACCAGACAATGATCGGTTCTTTTTGCAGGGATATTGAACCAAAGACTGAATGAAAGAAGCAATCCATCACAATCCATCCGCGAATGGAGCTCCGCGGGTCGCCGAGGTCCGGTGAGCAGCTTGAAGAAGGGGGAGCCACTGAGACGAAGAGCCCTCCCTTGGAAGAACGGCGATGATCGATGTGTCAACGATGGGATCCAGAGATTCATGCATGTTCATGCATTGCACGATGTTCTGCCAGCAAGCTGGGACTGGGAGTGGTTTTGTATTTGCTTTTCCGCTCGGGGGCAGGAGGCTCGGTCCCTGTAATCCGGACCCGTGCCCATGTTTTCTGCGCTTCCATTGTTTTGTGTCTTTTCGGAAACACGTTTTGAAGTTCATGGGCTTGAGGTCGTTTTCAAAGGCCCATGGTGCGAGGGATGCTGCCTGAGCGGACCTGCATTATCAGCATTTAGTGTCTTTGCTTGCTCTTCTCCTCTTCCTCGGTCTTTTCCTCTTGCTCTTGCATTTTATCTTTCTTCTCTTGCTGTTCATATTTATGTGTGTTTTTGTTCTTCCTCTTTTTCTCCTTCCTGTTCCTCTTCCTTTGCCTCTTCCATCAACCATCGACCTCTTCCTCTTCCTCTCATACCAGCAGGTGCCCGGCGTAAGCCTTTAAATAGCATGTCCACAGAATTTGGGGTGTCCACGCAGTGTTCCATTGTGTGATGTCCATTGCCCAGCGAGTCCAGTCAACTACAAGTATTTAAAAGCATGGTCTGAGTCAGTGTCTCCAAACAGAACTTCCCTTACTTCAGTGGGGCAAAATCTGTTGAACTGGACTTTGAATGGAGTTCAGTGAGGCAAAATTCCTTTACCCCTTTGTACTCCTTTACTTCAAAGTGATGGCCTCCAACCTACTAGCGATGGCCTCCTACCCGCTTTTTACTCCTTTACTTCCAACATGTGCCTTTTGGTGACATCCGTTGACCATCCGACCTCAGGTTCTTTCAGCTCTTCGACCAAGCGTTGTATGGCGGGGTCTTCAAGTCCCCTGGTGAGAGGAAGGTCGACTGGTTCACGGAAACACTACTGCATGTATGGATTCTGGAAGAATTCCCCATGAGGTCGATGGCATTCCTCAGCCAGCTGAGATCAGTGTCGAAGTAGACGTCTTAGAGATCCAAAAAGAGTCTAAGACCTCGATCACGTTTGGTAAGCACCTGACCAGGCCACTAGGTCATCCAGCTTGTTTTTGTTTCTATTTTGAGGCTGGAGAGACTTGTGTGAGAGTTGGAGGAGGTCAAGCTCGATTTTGCCTCAAAGGTTTCCCATCCTGCACAACGCTGACAGAGTTCGGGAGGCTTTGCTCTTAGAGATCCAGGAAATCCTGTGTATCACTGTACCTCTAAGAGTCCTGGGTGTTCAGAAGCTTAGGCTGGCCTCCCCGGTAGTCTATTATCTTCATGTTCATGGGTAACCAGAATCCAAGGGTTTTACCGTTTTGATATGTCTTGACCCACTCCGGCCCAAGGTTGCACCGTGGAAGTCTCGACTGTTACTTCCAGAACCGCCGGTCACCTGAAGGCACGTAGACCAGTTGCCACCTTGTGCGTACGGACGACGCCTGTCCCGCGACGCGCCCCGCGACGCGCCCCGCGACGCGCCCCGCGATGTCAGGAACATCGGTTTCTGCGGAGCTCTCGGCAACTTAGATGTGGGACGAGCCAGTCGACATGTTTGCATTGTTTCGCCACTTGTTTCGCCATGCACGAGGGGTCTGATGGAAGAACAAACGCCACTGGTTCATCGACAAGACGTTCCTATAGGCAAGACGGCAAGGTGTGTTTGTCTTGAAACTGATTCCTTCAATTGAGTGCTAGCAAGAATGAACACAACAATAGAATAGATTTGGATTCAACATTAGTTCATATTAATTCATAGAAGTCCAACTACAACGGCCTCGTGAGGTAATTCTTTTTCGGGGGCCCTGGATTTGACTTCATAAATGAGATTTGTCAAATCTTCTCAATCCCAGGCCGCTGGCTCCAACGGCTTGGGTTGGCTCTCTCTCTCTCTCTCTCTCTTGCTTCGCAGGCCACCTTTTTAGCCCAACACCTTCCAGGTCTCTCAGTCCACGCCTGTTTGGGCTACCACCGCTTACAACGGCACGTGTCGAGTTTTCCAGAGTTATACACCGGCACACGTCCCTTTTGGCTCACAAGGGTTTCCTGGAACATCTTTTTTCCCTGAAGTTCTTAGAAGCTACCTTTTCTTTGGAACACTATCTTTTTCCGGCCCACCGCAGTCAACCCGCCGCAGCTCCCAAAAACCACCACACCACGGTCTGAGGTCTTTTGCATCATCGCCAGCATGTCCGACGAGGAGGTGTTGGCCCTCCGGGTCGCCGGCGGAACCACCGCAGGCGGTCCGCCACACGCTCCGCCACCGAGCCGGCCGATGCCGGGGCGAACGTGCTGGGGGAGGCGTGGAACATGTGGCCATGGTTGGCCCAGAAGTCTATTATAGAGATCCATTGTTAAGAGCTACAGACTGCTTGAACAGGTGCTCAATGGAGCGAAGGATGATGACATACAGCTGCAAATGGCATACGTTGTGGGGCTGGTATCGAGAACGGCCAAAGAGTAGGACAACTGGGCATAACCTGCAAGCGCAGCAAGCTACACTGGTCCTCAAAATCGAAATCTGCGAGGTCTGAAGACCAGGTCTTTGTAGAGTGGGGTAATTATTGTTCTGCAGGTCTGAAAACAGGTCTTTGTGGCGTGGTATGTAGCTGCAAACAACTAGCGACGTTGTTTTCCATGCATAGTGTTTGGCTGAGGAACCATTTCTTGTCCATAAATGTTCATATCACAATACTCGAGAGCCGTGCCAGAAGTTGATCCCTTGGTCCAACAATGAAGAGCCTATATCCCTACAACCCATGAGTTAGGTTTCCTTTGCGACCGTCTTTTTTCAATATTGTTTTCCTTACCCTTCCCCCGCCCCCGAGCTGCTCAGTTCTTGCATCTGAAGCACGTCCCACATCCCGACCCACACGCCCCGACAAGTTGCACAAGTTTCGTGCGTCCCACCGGTTTGACCCCACGTGCTGCGACGGGACAAGCATGGACAAACCAAACAGGTGAGCTTAAGCAGCAGGTGGAGAGGCAGTTGCACGTCCCCACTTTTTGCCAGCAGCTGCTCGGGCGGAGTTAGACATCGGCCGGTCCCGGGGCGTGGAGCTGGAGCGCGGAGCTGTGAAAAGTTGAGCGGTTGGATCATGTTGGACCTGGTTCTTTTCGAGTCGTGAATTGAGTGGAACTGTGCCAGATGGCCGTTTTGGGGCAAAGGTTTGGGCCACCAAGAGACTGAAGCACAGGTCAGATGATCAAAAGGCTCTTTCCGATGAGACTTCTAGGCTCACCTAATAGAACACACTAGAGCAATGCCATCCATTCATCCGATCTCTTTTGTGAGGCTCGTACACGAGCGTCGGGCGCTGGAGGAGACTGGACGAGCAAAGTGTGTGACCTTTGATGAGCCTGGCGTGACCTTAAATCAGGAAGACCACAAAGACCGTCTTTTCATCTAGACATACTGTTGCAATCATTATTACCCATGTTCGATGAGTGATAATTGCTTAGACCCCGTTGGGAACATGTGTGAAGATGTGTGATGTCTCAGTCGATCCCCTCCCTTCAGTGTGCTAGTGGATTCTTTTGCCGAAAGAGGGTCCCTATGCAAATCCACCTCGTTGGCGCCTGACCCTGGCACCCCATCCGTGAAGACAGGTTCACTTCGCCACTCCCTTTGTGAATCTCGCTCAAATCTCCAAGATTGTCACATATCTCAGAGAAAAGGTATCACCGATCTCCAGGAGATTGTCACATTTTTCATATCTCGTTTGATCGAATCTCGGGATGTGTTTTTCATTGTTTTTCTCTCTCCCCGGGCCCCCGGACGAGAAAGGACACCGCAGTCTTGACCAGCCAAGAGCCGATTGGGCTTCGCTTGATCCTGCTACGATGCTCGGCACCGATGCAAGGCATCGAACCAGGAGTTGCGCAACCAGAGTTCGGTCGTAATGGTACCAGCAGCAAGGGCCGCAGCGAAGGTCTTCCAGGTATCACGTGTAACTACCCCCCAAATAGTTTTCATATAGTTGCCATGCATGGTATGACCGTCGTGTGGGGCAATCATACCAATTCATTGACTTGCGGAGACGATTCATACAGTGGCCTTGACTATTGAGTGTTGACAGAGCTTCTATTCATGGGATGCCATTCGGTGGTTTCAGTTCATCACAACGGTTTACGTCGGGACGTTCCCAAGACATCTCAGATTCTCTTGCTTCTCCTCTTCTTCACAGTGAGCAAGACCATTCATCCAATACCCAGCACCCATGGCTCCCCAGAACTCATGATGCGTGCATCTTGTGAGATTCTGCGCAGTACTTGTCATCCATGCGGAAACACCTCGTGGGATTTCCTCTGCTTGTTTTTGATCCAGTGCGGCCTCCAAGCACTTGTCATGGCTGCCTCACAAGAACACAAAGAACATAATGGTTAAAGAGGTTTTATTGCACACAATCCAACAATATCCAACATGTCTACCAAGAACCTGCAGATCTGTTCATGTGTTCCACAGAAAATACATGAACATGATTGAACATTGTACTCCTCACCACAGATGTATAAACAGTCTCAAGGACTCCTCTCAAGAGACTCTTTCCCCTTCCAAGGACTGGCACTTTTTACTCAAGAGGAATTGGGCCATGCCTTGGCTCGGACGGCTCGGAAGAACCGCCGAAAGCGATCGCTGAAGCGCCAGCGGGATCGATCCCTCGGTGGTCGGTGCGATGAACCAAAGCCGAATTCGGCACGGACGGTATAGACCGGGTATACACAGTATACACATGTAGAATTACACCCCTACACACCCCTTCAGGCAAGTCTTCTTTGGACTTTGGACATATATAGTCATCATAGTCAAACTTCAGATTGTGCCATAGTTGTTTTCTGTTTTTTGCATGTCAGGATTCTATATGTAAGACTTGATCCACAAGAACACCCCCGGGAAACTGATCCTGTGTCTAGATTGCCAATGTAGCTTTCTGGTACTTTGTCCGGTGGTTTGGATGTACTTGAACCATCTTACAGCTTACATCATCTTACTTCAAGCATGTTGTGTGTGTGTTCTCCATGCCATATTGGATTTGATATCATCGAAATAGAGTGTCTTGTAATTATTGCGGCCCCAAACACTGCCGACGGTCCCGGCGTGGTTTCGGGACGCGGATTCGACGAGACCGAGGCCTCGGGGATTCACGCTGATTTGGGTTTGGCCTTTTGCGATCCGGCCTTTCTACCACCAGGCGGAGATCCTGGGTTCCACGTGCCGAAACCAGGTTGCCCGTGCCGAAACCCGTTGACAGTAGTTGTTTGTTTTCATCGTAGGGTTGATTCACGTGTGAAGATGCTCGTGAATATGTTGACTATGTATTTGGTGTATAGATACATAAGTTACGTTTAAAATCATTATGATACTATTTGTCAATGAGAGTTCTGAAACATTAGCGTCAAGTGCAGCCTGGCACTTGCTCAGATGTTGGAGTTGCATGATGTGTCCTATCAAGAACAACAGGACAAGACCAACATTGATGGGTGAAAATGGAGGTGGGTCAATCTCCAAAGCATTTCCAGGACCGCTAAAGCATCCCAAGGGACATCAGTATATTACGAAAGCCAGCCTTCGTAGAAGGCGCTAGCGGAGTTGTGTCTGGCGAACGAAGTGAGTAGTTAGGGGGTCTGGGGGGGTGGCCCGAGAAAGGGACACGTCAACTCAGCACATGCTGGGGGAGGAGGGTGCTCCGAGGGAAGGTTTTTTGAGGTTGTGTTGGAGGTGATTTTTGAGGGGTGGTGATGCAAGAAATGCCAAATGCATCATTTGCATCATCTGAATGGAAAGGTGTAGTTGGCACCTTGCAAGGTAGAGAGACCTAGGGTAGCTATAGTGCAGCTACCAGGTATAGTACTTCAAGTTCCCTTTCCGTCAACCGCTTGAGAACCTCTACACACGCACAGCAAGCCACAGCCTTGAAGTCTCATTCGTGCTTTGAACTTGTATAGGTGTGTAAGAGGTATAGCAACATACTACCTGAGAAGCTGCAAAACGAAAGCCAGCGCTTCCCTTTCTCGAGAACTGCGCGTCGAAGCATAGGATAGAAAGGTAGGTCTGCACCCTAGATCCACCATCCCACTCCATTTTCTTTCATTTCTCTACGGCAGCTCCGCTTGGCATGTGCCAGGTGGAGGCGGCCGTGAGACCTCTTACACACCTACACAAGTTCAAAGCACGAATGAGACTTCAAAGCTGTGGATTGCTGTGCGTGTGTAGAGGCTATCGAGCGGTTGACGGAAAGGGAACTTGAAGTACTATACCTGGTAGCTGCAAGCAAGGTGCCAACTACACCTTTCTTTTCAAGGTGGCCTGAACAGAGTGTTTCAGGGCAGTAAACCGTGGTCTCAGGCCACCTTGAAAAAACCACAGCTACATAGCTACCCTGGGTCTCTATACCTGGCAAGGTGCCAACTACACCTTTATTTTCAAGGTGGCCTGCACAGAGTGTTTTAGGGCAGCAAACCCTGGTCTCAGGCCACCTTGAATTTAGCTTCAAAACCACAGCTTTGAAG